CAGGCAGATCTATCAGAATGATATATTATCACATCTATAGCAATTATTACTAATTAAAACATTTGCTGGTTTAGATTGAAAAATATGTTTAGTAGAAATATATATAAGCCAAGAGTAAACATATTTTAATCCATAAATAATTAATTGTCATCTAAAGCATAAGCAATACAGAGAATATCAGAGATGAACTATGCTACACTAAGCTAGGCAGTGAGCACTGAGCACAAAGCAGGTGTGAAAAATATCTTCTTTCAAAGACACAACTAGCCTAGTTCAATTACCATTTGCTTTCCACTTCATGAATCATGACTTATGTGCTATTGAACAATAATGATTATTATCTAATGTAACAAGTTTTTTTTCTTCCCAACTAGCTATATGAAATTTATATCGATTATCCAATAGTTAATAAAACTGCATGATTGAGCCAATAAATTTCAAATTTATCCAAAATGAGCAACTTTCAAGCAGCCTTATTTTATTATATTAGAATATTATAAAAATGTTTCTACTTCATTATACTGCCTTTATATGAACTTATTCTTTTGCAATATCTTCAAAGTTCTAGCATATAAATCACATAAGCTGCCTCACAGTACAACACCAACAAAGTGTCATGAGACACCGCACAATGGCTACTGTGCTCACTGGTCAAGTCGCCCGTCGGCCGTCACCGCTCTTAAAAAGAGATTAATGACATAATCAAAGTATAACAAGACTTATTGAGTTATGATAATCAATATGCCTTTAATTTCAAATTCGGATACAAAATAAATGCATTGCTAACCAGACTACTGTTTCCTTTCTATTTGTTTGGAGGCGACACCATGCAATCATATGGATTGAAGTAGCGACACCATGACAGTGTGAACTTGGGTTGGTCTCATATCTCAATTATATCGTTGACACATATATGCGATAAATAACTACTTAAATAAAAATTAAGGGTGGCGCACCGATGATTATAGGTGGCGATAGTAGTTTATAGGTGGCGTAACGGTGAGTGGCCAGATTTAACAAAAATCGACAATAAAACATCAATAAATCGAGAGGGTGGCGAGTAAAGGTGGCAGTCATCTAGGAATCATTGCTGATTTATGAGGTCTGAATAATCGATAGCACATTGCAGGCAAATCTCTTTCAAGCCACTGAAATCCATTTGCCTAAACTATGCACGAAGATATTTGCCACAGTAATTTATCCAAGGTAGAAAGGTGTTATTGGGTTACGGGTCATTCGAGATCAAGACGAAACCATGACATCGTTTTGTGTGCTTGGCTTTTAAGAATTAGTTATGTTAAGAAAATTTTGCGTGAATTAGGTAGGCACCAATAAAACTGAGTTAACTGACAGAGAAGCAAGGTGTTCACAAAATTCTTGAGCCAAAATGGAGCCACTGGGCATGTATCAGACTGTTCCTGATATAAATTGTCCGAGGAACAATGAAAAAATTTGATTGCAATAAATACAGTTTTTCCATACATGACGGCGAATCCAATTTTTCATGTTCACCTGAAATATTGCGTAAATTTATTGTGAATTTTGCGTATGCGCCGACTGGCTGTGTTGGAAATATTGCAATCAATTGAGACTACTTATTCTATTATTAAGTATAAATTGTATGGATTGATTAAGCGTGTTCCATTATATTTACAATATTCTCAAGTTGCCCCATTTATCTAGACTCAAAAGGCACGTTGACGTAGTCAACAACGGCTCCTCTTCCTTGTAAAGCACAGCGGCTCCGCATCAAGGGCAGAGAGCGAGTCCACAGTAAGCACACGTTCATACCGGTTGGCTTGACGCGCGGGTTGACTTGACGCGCGTCGACGTTGAGCTTCCTACTAATCTTTACCTTGTCCTGCTTGAAACGTGCTTTCCGGGTAATTTGCTTGTCACAAAAGTATCCTTTTTACGCAGAGGATACGAGTAAAAATTTGGTTATCCATCCTGACTTCGATTTTGCAATTTAATATACAGTCAGATAATTATTTAGATTTTAAGTCTACATTTCTAAGAAAGTGGCCCCGGTATCTTTCATACGCAAAAGACTAAAGATTAGGCTAGAGAAAAATGGTGACTAGAAGTGGTGCAGGTATTTCACGCCTGACATTTTAAATAATCGTGTAATATCAATTCCTTATTTCACGTCAGAATATTCTTGATGAAAATATATCGAATCAAACCGCTGTCAAAATTGGTGTAATGTTGACATTATGAACTTCGATACTAATTAAGCATTTTCCCGTAGCCTTTACTCTGAGCTGAACCATCGTTCGTTACGGATAAATGAAGTTTCTTTCAGCGGGTGTTCACTCAAATGTAGTAGCATGTTCAAATAAAATTGTTGATGAAACCACCTAATCATCATGGTGGTAGCATTAACTTCGCTCATTTGATGAAATTAATATTTGCAATACTTCAGTTAAATCATTTAAAATTACTCCATTGCCATTTCCTCTCCGATGGCTCAACGGTAGAGGCTCTGCTTCGCGTGCGGGATATCGGGGTTCGAATCCTGCAGGCAGGGACTTTCTTCAAATCGATTTTTCACGAGGTATGTGTATGGTACTCTGATTATATGTCCCTGCTACATGCCTGACATTGTTTCTTCACTTACTTCCATGGTAGATTTGCATACGTAGCACTCAGAATGGTGATTGGGTGAAGCAATATCAGTAAATGCAGAAGCAACGGATTTGAGACTATAGAATTTTTTTTATTGAATTCATTTTAAAGGTGGCCACTGGTGGCTCATTGATGCACCACCGGTGCCAATGGGTAGTTATTGGTGTACGAAGAGCTTTACGGGTATGGTGGCCATTGGCAGGTTATAGGTGTGGGAAAGGTGGTGCACGCCACCCTTAATTCACTGTATAAATCATAGAAGCTCCACCTATGGCGTCCACCGATAGCCACCATAAAAACATAGGTGCTCCACTCTTAATTTATATATGGGTAGTACGTATATATAAGATATAATATACTTACCGTACTTGCAAACTTCAATCACTGATAATAAGACTTCATTAGTTCCAAGTTTATTACGAAAACAAGGTAATGAAGCAACTCCATGTAAAGCTGTAGGCTGAAGCGTTCCCGAGATGTTGCCACATGATACACGTCCAAATTCTCACATAAGGCCGCCTCTAGACTGTGACTGTTGTCTCGCAATATTGTTTCTTAGTAATAATATTGATCGAGTTAAGCCCATACGATATGCTGTGCACTATATTGTTATTTTAATATATCAAAAGTATTTGCTTTTTGCTAATCCAGGGCAATGATGGTAAAATTGCATAATGCCCGGTCTGGTGGTCTTTATCGATGACTTCATATGGTCGTGTCAATTACGCTTTGGTATTTTGGGTAAAAAGGTAAATGACTAATTTGTCGCATATATTGGGAATTGCGGTCTGTTTGATATAAAAATGAAAGTATTTTAGTTGTCACGCGAAAAACAGGGACCGATGGGGGTGGTTGAATTTTCTAGTCATGAAGTACCAAGAAAGAAATATTTAATCCGGAAAAATAAGCTAATTCACCGTAATTATTCTGCAATACAATGCAGTATTTTTTCTATATAATACCTCAATTCAATTAGGACAAAGTTTGTTTTTCTTTTCTGTTGACACGCTGCCATAACCGCAATTTTCAATGACCTGAACGATTTCGTAAACTAACATTCAAGCAAACGCAAAAAAAACATAAAAAATAGTTATTTGTCTAGATTTGATCTAAAACAAGATTTTTTACACTCTTAATGCATTAAATGAATGTAAATGTCAATGATTTTTAAACTAAGTTTAATTTTTTATAAAAAATATTTTTTACACTCTTGATGCATTAAATGAATGGAACTGTCAATGATTTTTAAACTAAATTCAATTAAGCTCAAATTTTCCATGAGTGTAATTAACAACTGATTTTTTTAATTTGCTCAAGTTATTACAACAATTTATTTGTTTCATTCGAAGATGCGATATAGGTGCACAGTAGTGGGTACAATATGTAGAAGTGGTAGGTTAAAAATACTCTCTTGAACAGTATTGGTGCATGGGTTTATTCATCATATGCTAAATTCACCATTCTATATGTCACGTTAGAATCGACTCTCCTCTCATTCCGTCGTATCACATAGCGAACGTACGCGTGCACATTCATCGACGCCATTTATAAAACGGGAGATGGTCATGGTTCGTGCGTTTACCCTGTTCAGCCTCTGACCAGCCCCATCATGCGGTAGCGTCATCAGCGTTTGACCATGGGCATCATGACGAAGCTTGACCAGCTGCTCTCTTTAATCATATTACGCAGATTTGGCCTACCGGGCAATTGACTTCCAAAGGCGGCTGGTAAATAGAAGCAAAACACCCTACGTGGCCGACTTGCGCCTGATTCACCCCTAAGCCGAATATAGTGCCTCTGAAACGCCCTTAATCGGCACGAAAATTTTGAAAGGGTAGAACATAGAAAACAAAAAATGTCCTGTTGAAACGGAATTCAAGCCCAACTTCAGGAAGTAATTATTAAAGTGTGTGTAACGCTTGAACTGGCAAGACAGTATTATTTTGTATTTTAAGAGTATTAATATTTTATCATTTCTATTGCTAATACAGATGGCAAGGTTTCAAACTTTTGCGAATTATCGCAGCAATTTGTTAACACTGGAGCACGAAGGAATTTCAAACTGTGCATTACCAGTTCCATGAGACACAGTGGCCAGATAAGCGTGGTAAGAAAATGGTGGAACTGTTGATTGTGACTGCCAAGAACCTACGCTTGGATGGACTGATCTACAAATTGATCTAAAATGATGCAAATGGCCGATGTTGCACTTCATATTCAACTGCTTTATGTTGAGCGCATCCACAGTGCAAACGAGACTAGTTGTCCTAGTCACATACAATTTTTTTCAAAAATATTACCCCTGAGAACTTTTTCAAATTAATAACCAGGTATAATTTCAGATTGGCCCGGCCGTCAAAGCTAAATTCAAGATGGCGGCGAAGCATGACTACGCAATCGGCATCGACTTGGGCACGAGTAACTCGTGCGTGGGAGTCGTCAGGAACGGGCGCGTGGAGATCATCGCCGACGAGCGAGGTAGTCGCCTCACGCCGTCGTTTGTGGCGTTCACTGACGAGGAACGACTTATTGGTGAGTCGGCCAAGTTTCAGCGCACCATGAATCCTGCCAACACAGTATACGAAGTGAAGAGACTCATCGGACGCAAGTTCAGCGATGAAGCAGTGCAGAATAAACTCCCTCACTGGCCATACCGCGTCGTCAACGATAGAGGCAACCCAAAAATCTGCGTTCAATATCTTAAAGAGGAAAAGTTTTTCACCCCAGAAGAGATTTCTGCAATGGTGCTGGCAAAAATGAAAGAGACCGCCGAGGCTTTCCTTGGATGTGAAGTGAGGAAAGCGGTTATTACTGTACCTGCGTACTTCAGTTACTCTCAACGACAAGCTACCATTGATGCTGGTACCATTGCTGGTCTCCAGATACTAAAAATTATAAACGAACCTACCGCTGCCGCCATAGCGTACGGGGAAGACACAAATGTCTTCGAGGAGATCAACATTCTGATTTTTGACTTTGGAGGCCGGAAGTTAGATGTGGCGGTCTTGAAAATGAAAAAAGGCAACTATGCTCTGAAATCTGTTGAAGGGATTAGCCAGCTTGGGGGAAGGGACTTGGACTCCCGAATAGTCCGTTTTATGATCGGGGATTTCAGGAAGAAAACCGGGCTGGACATATCAAACGATTTAAAAGCTCAAGCAAAAATGACCAAAGCTGCCGAACGCATAAAGATCAATTTGTCAGGTAATGCATGTGACAGAGTTCAACTTGAGTGCTTGAGTCGAGGGCAAGATTTCAGTTTTGTTTTATACCGTGGCATGTTCGAATCACTTTGCGCAGATATTTTTGAAGAAACTATGAAGTGTGTGGACAGAGCGATTGTCAATGCCGGGCTGACAACAAACGAAATTCACGAAGTAATCTTAGTCGGCGGTTCAATTCGGATTCCCAAGCTCAGAAAAATGCTTGAAAAAAAAATCCCAAACATGGAAATCAAAAGGACGATCAGACCTGAGGAAGTTGTTGCGTACGGAGCTGCTGTTCAGGCAGCCATGCTCAACAACGACCGAAGTGTTGACAGACGTTACATCCCTTAAGCTGGCAGACGTAATTTCACTGTCGATTGATACTCGTTTGACTGGCGATGTAATGAGCATCATCATCAAGCGAAACACTAAACTACCTACAACCATTACAAGAAAAAAGTACACGACTGTCTCTGATTATCAAAAATGCATTTGTAACTCAGTTTACGAAGGTGAAAACATTGTAGATTTTATACACATTAATTTAATTGCAGTTTTTTCTTGTCAGAGAAAGTTATATACGCTCAGAATTTTATCGAAATTCACGCAATGAGTTGTAAATTATGTTATGGTGTATGCCGTATGCAGGATTTTCCGTAACTCCATTTTCTGACATCAATTTTCAATTCCTTTCAGATTTGAGATTAATGAAAGTATATGAAAATTCATTAATATTATAGAAAACTTCAAATTGTTTCGTTAGATAACTCAGTCTTGTACTTCGAAGTCATGTTAGAAAGCCCAGACTTTCTTTGCTTGATATCAAACAGTGGCTCCTTTATTTAGGTAAAACTATTTCTGGTGACCTAAATTAGTCTGTTGATGGTTGCTCATTAAGAACATGCATGACATTTTAAACATTACTTATATACAAATCTCGATTTATTTGAAATTCAAATCAGCGTTTTCCAATTTAATATTCGTGGATTTGCTTTGTGACAAGCAATTATTGAGTTCACGTGTACTAGCTAATATGTTCGTTTGCACAATTATCTTGAAATCATTTCGTTATAAAAATTTGTTACCCATTTTGTTCTCTACATAGTAATATTGATTGAATATTTCACATAGAGAGGAATTGAAGAAGTTACTTCGAGTTCAGATAATGTGCCTCGTTTTGCATTTATTTCTTGTTGAAAAGCGAAAAGAGAAGCATTTCGTAATTTTATTGTAAATAGTCAGTGCAGCTTCTACTATCATACTTCATGACTTATATGTTTGAACTCGTTTGAATGAAATGATTATAGTTGATTATAAATGAAATCAGTGATTTACCGTCCAAGTTTTTTTCTTCACAATTAAATAAGACCCTTGTTTTTATAACAGGAATTCCCTCAGAAAATGGCGTGATTTTTCATCCTACGTGATTTTTTGTTCTAGAAAAAAAAAGAATAAAAAAATTGAGGATGCACAAACGTGAGAAGTTTTAGTGAATAACGTCGCCAAACATTGATGAGTTCTATAGAATTATATTTTTTTAAAAACTGCATTCCTACCCACATGGTTGGCTTCGTTCCACCCTTTATTCACTTTTATTTCGCATTCGCTGAGATATGCATGTTAACAACGGGTTTGAAAAAATTCGGAAGATAAAGTATAAAATGCGGTAGGTAGAATGAGATTTTAAAACGTTGAAGTATTGGTATGCTGTTGGGGACTAGTCAATAAGTAAACATTATCTGACCCCGAACACTTGGCCAATGATCGTAAATAAAAAAGGATGAATAAAAACTGATAAGTTAAGAACTATAATAACAAAGAAGAATACATATAAACCGTGTATCTTTCTGGCTCTTGACTATTAATTCCTGATCATGTTCTAGGTTCGGAGCCTCGCTGAAAAGCAAGAATAAATACAAATTAAAGACTTGAATTAACGTAACGCTAACGAAATAATATATAACACATGAATAATAACTTCATATAAATATTCAATATCACCAAAAAGCCACCACTACATAAACACGAAAGATTAACGCGATAAACAATTCAGGTACCAACCACTGTGGTGGATCTCATAGCAATGACAAGTTACAGGGCGGGCCTAAACGAAGTCACATAATAGTAACTCAAAACAAAAATAACAAAATCCGTAACCTAACTATTGATGAAATTATTTTATTTAAAGGCTGTCCCTAACAATGCATATTCAAAATTGGAAAAAAAATAATTAGTGAATATGATATCCTAAATAATTTTTTTCAGAAATGACAGCATATTACCGATTTTTAGTGCTCGCCAAATCCCTCACACATTTGTAGTTAAATTCTTGCAGCAATTTAAATGTGATTTGATGAGTGTCATGCATTTTTTCTAACCTTAGTTCTTAATCAGATTAACGCACATGGAAATCATTACTGATTTTAGTTCACAAATAATCTGAAAAGTTTAATTCGTATTTTATAATGTTTTGTGCACAAAAGAAGAATCGTGTTTCTGTCAAATTACACTATCAACTGCCGATATTATTTAACCACATCTTCTTAGAGAGTTGGCGAAGCAGTATTGCACGATAACATTGATTTCATAAAATTGCGATTAGTTACGTTGCCGTAGAAAACGTTTGAAACATTGGGTACGCGAAGAATGACTCTGCATCACAGAACTTCGGAGTCTGAGTTCTTTGAGACCGGCAGAGAGCTGTAGAATCTGAGCTCCCATATGAAATCAGCCGTCGCCAGCCCCAGCTGGTGACGGCACAAAATTTTCAAGTGAATCGGCTTCAAAATTTGTGAAGTGAAGCTGGCACGACTACAAGGAATTCTGATTCAGAAGTATATCGATCAATGAAAAATAAATGGTTCAACCGGCGTACATCGACAAAACGGTAGTAAAGTCGCGCGTTTTACGATCATTGGGCTGTAAAATTTTATCCTTCCTAATAACAGTTGTAATATAAAGTTTACATAATTTATCTTAATATCTGCAAATTGTAAATAATTGACCAGGGGCCGGATTATCAAAACATGCTAAGTATACGTAGCCGCTAACGTTTAGCGTAAGTACAGCTAAGTAGACGTGACTCTACTGAGTGTTATTATCGAAACATTTGCGCGGGAAGCTACGTACAAAAATTTGTGCATAACTGAACGCCTGCTCGGAGGTGTCGTAAGCGGAGTTACGTACAAATTTTGAGTGTTGAAGCAATATGAGACTATTAATTTACTAGCAGCAAGTTGAATTGTAATAGAATTTTGTCAATAATGAGACTTAGGTATAATATGGGATCGTGCTAGTGCTTTTAGGAAAAAATATTTGATTGAGTTTATACCAGAAGCT